ATTTTTTTATGTGTTACATATTTTTGTTAAAATAATAATAATAACAATATTTTTTGTTTGTTATTAATACCTTATATTTTTCTTGACTACTAATATTTTGACTCAAATGTATTATATTATAAATATTTCAAAATATTTATCTATTAATATAAATATTTTAAGCCATTATTTTTTTGTTAAATACCAGGGTTTAAATGCTTAACAGAATATATATATATATATATATATATATAAACAAAACAAAAAAAATAGTATTTATAAATATATTTTACGTTTTTTTGTTTGAAAAAAATGTGATGAGATTTATATTATATATTATTTATAGTATTATATAATATTRTATATAAAAATTTATTTTCAAAAAATACAGTATTAAAAGCATTAGTGAAAAATAGCATTAATTTTGTGCTGAGTTTGGCATTAATAATAATAATAATAATAATAATAATATAAAACAAAAGAGTAATATATATATATCACTAATCTTATAAAAATATCAAAAAGTCAGTTAAAATTTATTTTATTTTTTTTTGAATATAAAATTCAATTTTATATATATTTCATGAGAGAAATATATATATATATAATATTATCTTATTTATGATATTATGTATATATGTGTGTAATTTTTAAAATTTATTGATAAAATAATTTATTAAAATTCATGCATTTAAAATATTGCTTATGTAATTAATTTACATATATATATATATATATATATATTATATATATTATATAAAATGCATTGTATTTGTTAATTTTGTGACACATATTATAATTAATTATTATATTATATATATATGTAATAATTATAACAATAATAACAACAACAACAAGTATTGTATTATAATATATATATATATATATATATTGTATTTATTATAMTRTATATACAGTTAAATATTTATTGTGTGCTTAACTATGTATAAATAATTGAAATTTATTCAAAAAATTAGATCATATTTTATATATATATATATATATATACATATATATATACATTATATTTCATATAAAGATATATAAAAATTATAATAAATTATAATAAATAATTAGTGAAAGTATTTTGTGTGTGAAAAATGCTTAACAATACAATTAATATCCAAAACTTATTRTTATTATTATTATTAATATTGAAAACATTTATATAATATATAATTATATTATTATTTAATGATTAGTTTTAGTATTTTAAAAAATAAATTTGAAAATTAAAAACCGTTTTTTGTGTATATTTTTCTCAATACATACAAACACGTCAACTGATCATTAAATAGTTTGAAAACAAAATTTTTTYATTTAATGTATTTGTTTTGTATGTTTGATTTAGTTTTTATTTTTTTGTATTAATTTTTTGACATAAAAATAATTTCATGAGAAAATTTTATCATTTCAAAAAAATAAGTAATTTTTAAAATGTAAAACAAATTTATTTTATTAAACATAATATTTATTTTATTTTTTTCCTTTTAATGAAAGTTTATATCAAAAAATAAAATAAATTGTAATTATTGTGRAAATAAAATAATCGATACGTTTGGGAATTATTTATATATAATATMTAWATATATATATATATTTAAATAAATTGAGTTTTTAAATATAATTTATATTAATATAAATATTAGAAAATCAATAATTATAGTAAATTTTTACTGAAAAATATATTAAATTTTGAAAATTTTGTATTTTTGTTTTATTTTAAAATTTTATATCATTAGTATTAAAAATATTTTTGTTTTTTCAAGTTTTATATTTAATAATATGATATGTGAAATATTAATACTAAAATAATAATAATATATAAAAAATAATTTAATAACAAACATTTCTAATTAAAATCCACATTAAAATTTAATATTATAATAAATAATCTATAAATATATTTGAAAATTATTATATATATATATATATATATAATTTCTAATAATAATTTAAATGATTTATAATTTTTATATTGTTTTTATTATTATTATTATTATTATTATTATTATCAAAATGTGTCATTGTAATTAATATCCGGCTATTATTATTGTTAGTATTATTATTTTTTTAATATATATATATATATATATACATAAAAATATTACAACAATTATAATAATAACTTATAATTTATAGCTACTTGAGTGAGAGAAGAGAGAGAGAGAGAGAGAGAGAGAGAGAGAGAGAGAKACCAATTAATTTTTATCCCTCAAGACTACTATAATTTTATTATATTATTATTATTATTATTACAATTACAATAGTAAATGATAGACAAAAATATTTAAAAATAATAACCAACAAAAAAACTAAAATTAYAAAAAAAAAATAATAATTTTTTKAAATGCATTTTSAAATTACAATTGAATAACAAGAAWRAAAGAGAGAGAGAAAAAAAAMAAAAAATAAAACATTTTTGTGAAAAWKWTTTTTWTTTTTTATTTTGCTGTTTATCATYACTATTATAGTGTATTATTTAATTTTTTGTTGTWTTTTTTAATTAAATATGATTTTCATAATAACATTTAGTTAGTCTATATGTRTGTGTAAACTACTGTCTCATCAGATAAGGCCAGACATACATAATTTACAGTAGAAACTCATATATTTAATGGACAGTAGGTTTTTTTGTTGCTTAGTATATATACTGAATGACTATATKTCTTAAATATTCTGTTCACATATACATACCGATGCTATTATACAACAGCTCATCCATACAACTATTACTACCCAAACAACAACAGCATCAGCAGCACCGGGATGTTCACTGTATACTATCAAATCCTTTAACTGCCATTATTTCATACTTAATATATATATATATATATATATTGTATGTATTGTATATGTCTGGACCTTAAAGCTCACGATCAGTAGTAGTAGTAGTAGTAGTAGTAGTAGTTATGCTAGTATTGGCACTTCATTTGATGAGCACCGGGAGGACCGGTGTGTGTGTATGTGTGTGAGTGTTAGTCTGTATAATGTACTGATGGGTTCCTGACTTGAATWTTATATTAWTTTTTTTTGTTTTTAAAYATAATATACACTGTATTTTATATATATATATATAAAGTTTATATAGTGGGGGCTATTATTACAATTATTATTATTGTTTATATATTATATATTATTTTCAAAAAAAAATTATTAGATATACAATAATACTGGTAGTAGTGGTGTGTTATTTATGACTGACTATKACTACTACCGGTGCCATTAAATACAGCATTTTATTTATAAGCAATTACTGTATTWWWAAAGTTTCGGAAACTATAACWAYAATAATAACAAAACGAAATGAAATTAATTTAATTTAATGAGAAATACATATGTATTATATAAATATATTATTTTTTAAAAAAAATTAATATTATATTAAAACAATTGTATTTTTTTGAAATGAAAAAATTAAGTTTTTTTTGTTGTCTATGTGTGTGTATGTTATATAATAATTTATTTTTCATTATTATTATTATTGTATTTAATATTATCATAATATAACATGACTTTCCTGTTATTAGTCTATATAWATATATATATAAAACAAATGTTATAAACAAAGAGATAGAGAGAGAGAGAGTGAGAGAAAACAAAATTGATTTCATTTGTGAATCAAATTAAATGTTAATTATATCAAAAAATACAAAAAAAACATTTTGTGAACAAAACAATAAAAAAAAATAAAAATATTTATCAAAAACAAAATCGTGAACTCCTTTAAGCAAAATATATGTATAAATAATTTGTTTTAAAATTTTTTTATTTTGTTTTTGTTTTTATACTTTCACTTGTATTTTATTGTATAATATTATATATTTATTATATATATATATATATATATATATATATATATATATACTGTATATGTTTGTATGGGATGATTGGGTTAGACCTCCCATTCCCCCCCCATTATTTTTTAATTAATGAAATCTAACCTAAAAAAATTAAATATATATAATGATAATCTCAATAATTTTTTTAAACAAAAAAGCTTAAYATTGTCTATAAAAAWATTAAATTAATTTTTATTTAATTTTGTGGTTAAATAAAATAAAATTTTTTRTTTAATTCAAACAYACAAACAAACAAAACAAAATTAATTGTTTGCTATAAAATAATAGCTAATTAATGATTAACAGTATTTTTGAAACATATAAATAAAAACATATAAAATAATAATAAATTTTAACAAAATTTTATGAAAATAATTTATTTTTTTAAAACAAAAAAACATTTTTTTTGTTTTATATGTATATATAAACAATTGTCACGACTATTATCGGGCTATTAAATCGGTCACACTTTCCATCTGTCGATATATATATATATATAAWATATATGTGTTTCCTCTATATTACATACCAGTCCCGTCCCCCTAACCTAYCTRACCATAGKTTTTATAAATSAAACCTTAACCTTATATACAATTAAAAAATATATTTTATAATATTTACTAATAATACTAATSGCATATCATTAGCATAGAWAAACCAAAGTRTGTTTTGAWTATTATTATTATTATTATATATTATTATTTTTATTAATAATAATCAATGATTTTKTTGTTTTGTTTTGTTTTGATTGTTGATTTGGTAATTATATATACAAATASTATTATTATAATAATAATTAATTATTATATGTTTTTTTTATTGAAWGAGAGAGAGAAACAAAACAAAACTAAATAATTAATATTAATTTATTACTAATTTATTATTATTAGCATTCGTATTATTAATGATATCYCMRTAATATATAATAATAGTAATAAATAATTGTTTTTATTTTATTWTTTATTTCTATCAATCATTGAATGCCATAACACAATGAAATTAWTWAAWWAATTAATTAATTAATTAATAAACAAATTATTATASAAAACAAATTTRAATTAATACACAAATATAATACTAATAATAATAATAATAACAGTCAATATAATTAGCATAACTAATAATTAGTTATATAAAACAAATTTATTTAATTATATTATTTTTTTATTATTTGTATAGTTGGCGGCACCGATAGGCCCCGATATAGGACAGCCTACGCTTGCGAGGGCTCGGAGTTGAGCATMCAGTGCGATGAAGGTACCCTGATCAATTTGATCAGGGCCAACTATGGCCGTTTCAGTATATCCATATGCAACGAGCACGGGGATCTAGACTGGAGTGTCGATTGTAAATCGCAAAAATCATATTTTGTCACCGCCAACAAGTATGTATAGCTAACTAACCTAACTAACTAATCAAAAAAAAACCAACTGTCCATAAATATATATTTTGATTTATTTATATATATATATATAGTGTATTGATTAATAATTTTTTATACTCTATTAAATAGTTGTTATAATAGTTGCCAAAAAACGTCAAATAGTTGTTAAAATAGTTATTTAAACTGTATTAAATAGTTGTATATAATTGCCAAAAAAAGCCAAATAGTTATTGAAATAGTTATTTATTTTCTTATAAATATTTCAACTGATATATAATTCACTTGTTTTCAGCATATTTACAAAAATGATTTATATAAATAAACTAATTATTTCTATTGTTAAAAAAGTAATATGAGTTGAAACAGTTTACACATTTTATATAATTTATATAACTATTACTTTTTGTTTTTAGATATATTTGAGCAATATTTTACAATCTAATGCTTATATTTTTCAAAATAACTGAAATAGTTATTTATAAGTTTTTATAGTTGCTAACCTAACAAATAGTTATTTATAGTTATAATAAAATTTCGGAAATAGCGTCCACTGGTCAACTTCGGTGGACATACTAAGTCCCAGTTATAAGCGTTAAACCGACAAAATAATTTATTTAGTTGAAAATCAAGACACTATATATATATACCGGTATATATTTACCGCTAGTTAGTAATAAATATAACATATAATAATATATTACAAATAAATAAATTAATTTAATTTATAAAAAATAATCCTCTATTGTAATGTACTAATTATTTTTTAAAAAAAATTATACTTATAATATTTAGATGATTATATTTATTGAATTTTTATTTTTATTTATTTATTTATCTAAAAAAAATAAAATTAATTAAAAATTAGATTATAATTAGTTTTTACTACTATTTTTAAATTATTAGTAAAACTATGATATATGATATAATAATTTATCTAATAATTGATTTAGTACAGTTTTTAAAATATTATAAAAATTATACTATAATTATAATTATATAATAAATTAATATATATATATAGTTTTTATTATAGTTTTTAAAGCTGTAATAAATAAATTATTAGATAAATATTATTATAATTAAAAAATAGAAATATAATTATTATGATTAACAAAATATATTATACTATTATTTTTCAATTAAATTATTATTAATATAAGTATAAATAAATAATCTATATATTTAGTAATAAAATTATTAATATTAAAATTATTTTAAAAATTTATTAATTTAATAAAAATATATAAATACTTAAGTAGTAAGTTAGATATTAAAGTTATTAATTTTATTAAATAATAACAATAATAATTTTTCAAATATTATATTAATATAATTAAAAACTAAAATATTAAATTTTATTTAAAGTTATTTTCTCTATTATCTAGTTTTAATAATAATAATAATAATAATATTTCCTAACAATGAATAATAAGTTTTATGCAAATATAAAGTTAAAAAAAACTGTTTAAACACATCATATAAGTCAAGGATTTTATATTACTTTTTTAACTTTTGTTAATTTGATTATAATATTATTAATCATTTGAAAAATAAATAATAAGATATTTAAATAATTTTTTTGGTGAGAGAAATATTATTAACATTAATCATAACTATATTTATTATTATATATATATATATATATATATATTTAGGACAAAAYAATTTTACACCTGTTTGTTATTTAAGTTATTTATTAATTTTGTTAGTTAAGTGTCCATCAATTGTTTAGTTAGCATATRTACTAAACAATCAATTACTTMATATATATATATATATATAKTATATATATTAATATAAATAAATAATAGCAACAAAAATATGAAAAWTTAAAAAATAATATATTTTATTTTAAYGTATAATTAAAAAATTTGTTATTTTTATRTGTTTTTATATATACACACGTGTACTAAAACAATAGCATKAAAAATGTAATAATAATAATGTTAGCATTGATTATGATAAATATGATAATAATAATAWTATTAGAAAAAATTTAATATTATTAAAATACAATACATTTAAAAAAATTATATAATTAAAAATATTTTATCAAATATACTATAGAAATAAATGTTTTATTAAAATTAATTAATATTTTTCAACTAATAATGTAAATTATTGTTAGTTTTTRAAAAACATCTGTTTATRTTTCAATTTCAATCAAAAAATAAATAAATAAWAATTCAATATCACTGTTAATTTGGAGGTKAAAGTTAAATAATTAAATAACAAAATTATTAGTTAAATATTAATATATATTTAAATAATATTTACTGTATATTTATTTATTATGTATATATAATGAGTATTGATTGTATAGATAAGTATCAGTATCTATCTATCTATCTATTATCAARTAGACAGTCATGCAATAGCCCGGTGCTTAYCCATTGTATATATATATGGATATATAAAAATCCTATTAACTTATTATTATTATTATTATTATTAACAGATTAACAAAACAAAAATAATATAATGTTGTTTAATACCCCGTATAATAAGATTAATTAACAATTGTTTAGCAAGGTTATTTTATTTAAAATAAATAAATATTTTATTTAGTAACACGATATATATATATATTTTTAGCTAGGTACATTGAATTTTTATTTTATTTATTTATTTTTGTTGTTRATATTTAATGATTGTATAGATAAAAGTTAAGTAAATCTTAACGTTATATATAAAAAAATATMAAAATTTTTTTTRTTTATCATGTCTTTATAATCTATGATTAAAACTAAAAATATTTTTATTTTAAAATATATAATTTTTTAATTAATAATTTATTCAGCGATGACTATCTCCTAATAATTATAAAAATAATTATAATTAATTGTTAAATATTCATGTTATAAGTTAGTATTAAATWTATATAWSTATATAAAAAAACATTAGWTTTTAGCATAAATTTAATGATTTATTTAATTTTATTTTTTTAWACTTTAWTTTTYTTTTGAGTTAATTAGTTAACAATTTTTTTTTTGTTWTTTTTTTTGATAAAATGTTATCATATTTCTAATCAATTAAATTTTTATTTTAAATATATATATTAATAGAAGAAAAAAAATACTTTTTAGGAAAATATTTTATTTTATATAAAAAAAATAAATAATAATAAATAATTAATAGTTTAAATACGCGGAAGAGATATGTGTTTAATGAAAATTATATACAATTTTTTTTGTTGAATATCATATAAATATTTTGTTTTTTTTAAATAACACAAAAAATCTATAAATAATTGGCTATTAATTTATAATAATAATAATAATAATTATACTAATAATAGGCTATTGGCGTAAATTAGAGGTAGTCTTCCTATTATGAGTAGGTATGAGCTGATCATACATACGATACTATTAAATATATATATATATATAATAAAATAAATTAATAAATATTTTAAAGTGTTTTATAATAATTTTTTTATTATTGATGGGAGAGTAAGGAGAGCTAAAAAATTATACCCAAATATGATATACATATAAATTATATGTATATATAAATAAATTTTTGACAGTTTATTACAAATTATCTCTCTCTCTCTCTCTCTCTCTAAATATAATCATATAATAACAACTAATATGTCATATAATTAATGTGTAATTTTTTTTGCAAAATTTTTTTTTTATTATAAACTATGTTTRCCATCAAAATTCCTATGTGAAAATTATTTATGATTTTTTAKTTATTTATTTTTTTTTAAATTTTAGTATATAATTTTCAATAACAAAAATTAGTATGAATTGATAGGAATAAATTTTTTTGACTATTTTTTTATCAAAAATTTTGATTTAAATATATTATGTGGAAAAAAATCACAGTTTTAATCAATAATATACTATTGATATATATATATATTATAACTGTAATAAATAAATAATTTATGATATAACACTTATAAATAATAAAACTATTTTTAAAATTATTAGCTAATATTAGAAATGATATTTTAATTTTATTAAATTTTTTAAAAAATAATTTTTAGACAAATCTACTAAATTTTTTTACTATTAGTTATTACTATTAGTTATAATTTAATTAATATATGCATATATTATATAAAATTAATTAATTATTAAACGAGTTAATACCAATACCAATAATAATAATAATAAATTAATATATAGTTTATAAATCAATATTAATATAATTTGTTGGTTACAATTAAAATTTGAATATGTGTTTAAATATTTTATTATATTTAATATATTTTTTTTAAAAATTTATTATTAATTTTATTATTATTATTTATTTAAATTATAGATGTGCCTTTCAAAAAAGTTGCACATTATCATCGTCTAGCCTGGTATTTGATGATCCCTGTCCCGGCACCTACAAGTATCTGGAGGCCCATTATCAATGTCTACCAGGTATGTAATAATTWWTTTTTATATATATATATATATATATATATATTAACTATAGTAGCTATTAGACAATATAGTTAGTATTATTTWGTAATATTTGTTTTTWTTTAGATAAATAAATAAATARTAAAAATAAAACATTAGTAAAAAAAAGTCAATCATYGATAATATAATACMCAACAATAAAAAACTTAACAAACAAAACACTAACTAATAATAGGATTGATTTGATTTTATATATATATATATTTGTTTGWTTGTGTATTACTKTGTGTAAATCCAATTAGTTTTTACCAACAAAAAAAATCAATAGGAAAATCAAATCAAAATAAATATATATATATATAAAATAGATAAATAAATGTTTTACACAAACACATAGCAAATCATTTATATATTATATTATTTTTATTTGTATTTGTATTTATTTGTATGTTTAGTATTTTATATATATGCTATGCTATGTTGTTAGTAGTAGTAGTAGTAGTAGTAGTAGTAGTARTAGGACTGTCCCCACGATTTTCAATYACCGACACATAACACACAAATACCCGGCTCTAGTAGTTTGTCGGCTCTGGTAGTAGTAGTTGTTGTTTTAATAGTAATAGTTATTATTAGTTGTAATTTACTTTTATTTWTTTTTTGTTGTTGTTATCTCTACAGAGATTTATTTAGTATTAWTTTTKTTGTTGTTTTGTTTTACTGGTTGTGTKTKTTTGTGTCAGTAATARTAAAAACTGTTTGTCGAAAGTTAGATAAGAGAGAGAGAGAGAGAGAGAGAGAGAGAGAGAGATTTACTAATAAAATGATAGAAATAGTGACATAAAAAAATATAAAACAAAAAAAAATAAWAGCAATAATAATAATAATGTGATTAATAATCGGGATGTTTGTGCGGTGGACACACATAATTGGACTAATAATTATTATKATGTGTCTGTCCTCTCCAACAACAATAACAATTAGTATTGTTTAGTCGCACAGGGATTTTGTTTGSGAGAGAGGAAACTGTATGTTTGCAGACACACACACATACACACAACTACATACACACACACACACACACACACACACACACACACACACATACACACACATACATACAACTACATACACACATACATACACACACAYACACACACATACACACACATACACACACACACATACCATACACACACACAAAACTATATACTAAACTAATCAAACAAAACATAATTATATATAATATTTTAGTTTATATTTTATTGRATTATTATCTCAATTATTTTTTTTTGTGAAATAAAAATATTAAAAATTAATGATTAAAAMTAAATATTTATTTATTAATATAATTATTATTATATAACAGAGTCGACAACACAACAGCTAAAACATTTACAGTCAACGTTRCGRCCCAACGACACCTAYGGMCATCACATACCTGTCCATCACATTATGAACGGTTTGGGTACACCATCTGTTAGTAGTGGTGGCCGACCGTCTAATAGAGGAGGCAGTGATCCATTAGTGCCGGCACTGTCGTCCTCAACGCCGGTAACGGCACCTGCAGATCAACAACAATTGCCAGCCCATACAGCAGCTGCTGCTGCTGCCGGTGGCCAACAGCATAGCCGTCCGCCTATAATAGTACCGCTAACCCAGATCTACCGGAGCAGCACCAGTACCTCTACCACTACTACCGCCAGCAGCAGCAGTAGCTCAACCACCGGTTCGCCCGTACTATCTATAAGTCCCATAAGTCCTACCATTAGTCCCGCCATACTATGGAGCAGTACTGCTGCTGCCATGCCTTCATTGTCGTCGTTGTCGACCATTGCCAGCACCAGTACTACTACGACTACTACTACTGTTAGTCCCTCTATGTCTAGAGATACCGGTGCTTATCATCATAATMATAATAATGTGTCATCAAATCATCATCATCAACAACAAATCATAAACAATAGGAACAGTAGTTTAGTGTCCAGTCATCATCATAATAATAATCATCATCACATAATAACATCAACTACTAGTCCCTCAAWCATCAGCAGTAATCATAATACCGGTGCACCAAATAGTAAATCACTGTTACAGACGGCACCCACCCGTCAGCCATTCAATCATCAGCACAGTGTCTACAAAACCAATCAATCGCTAGCAATGGGCAGCTTCGGTGGTGCCGGTGGTGCTGGTAATGGTGGCTCCGGTACTACCATCAGCACCRTTAGCACTAGTACTACGTCCACTACCGTTAGTATTATTTTTTTTTTAAAAATTTTGTTATATATATCTAAAAATATATTTAATTAAACAAATATTAAGAAAATATTTATATTATAGAATTCTAGACTAAAAATTTTTTTTGACAATTTTTTATTAATTGTTTTTTTGCTATTTTTTATTATTATTATATCCACTTTAAGGATAACAAACAAAACAAAACAAAAATTTAGTTTTTTTGAAGTGATTTTTATTTTATTTTTTTTTATTTATTTTATTATTTGATAAGTTTATGTCTATTTGTATGAGTAGTCTTTTTTAAAAAAAAATAATATAAATAAAAATAAAAGTCACTAACAATTTAATCTAAACTCTCAAAAAACTTATATATATTTTTAGTATTTTTTAGTATTATTATTATTATTATTTGTTACTTAACTATAAGTTTTTTGTATGTTTGTGTGTTTGAAATGTTCAACTAATAGGAAAGTTTAGACTAAAATAGATAACAATTTTTTTATTTACTTATTTGATGTTAATATATATGCTAAACACTATACAGAATATTCTAGTTATAGTATATTTAAATATATATATATATATATATATATACAGTATATATATACTGTATATTGAATATATAATTTATTTATTTTTTARCTAAACAATGATARACAATATATATATATATATATATATACTATAGTATATAAAGTATATATACATTATATAAAAATGYAAATTAWTTTTAATTTATTATTTAGTTATTTGTATTAKTWTTTTGACTTAAATTTRATATTTATTTAATTTGTTATTTTWGTATAATYTTARTTTTAGTAGTTRTTCAAKATATTATTATTATTTATTTAGATAATTTTTCATATAATATAATATAAAATTMATTTAATTTATAAMTATTTTGTATTAGTAATAATAATAATCAAATGAAATCATTTTTACTAAAAAGTTATTTATATTTTTAAATTTTTTTTCAAAATATTTGCCATATGTTTGACATATARTTTTCGTGTTTATATATACTAAACATTTTTTTAGTTTATCGATATATATATATWTTTTGAGTATATTAGTTGACYAGAAATCTATATATATATATATWTATATATATATATTGATATATTTATTTTCAAATCTATTTATCAATCTGTTTATCAACTTTAAGTATATACAGTAGTATTAATACTTTTTTTTTAAAAAATATATATATTTGAAATCATATACAGTAGACTKTATTTATCAGAAAAAATACTAAAATTTAAAAAAAAACATTTTGTATCCAAAACTTTTCAACAAAAAAAGTTTATATCRTTTTATTTATATATATATATATATATATACAGTATATATAAGTTTTTTGTGTGTTTATGTTTGTGCAACCCTTTACTCAAAAAAAAAAAAACATTTATATATATATAAAAACTATAATTTTTTTGTTAGRTMTATAAGTAATGTTAATATATATATATAATATTGATTTTATTTTCTAGACATTTATTTATTTTTKAATTTTTTTTTTGAAAAATATTGATATATTTTGTTGTTGATATTATATAYATATAGTCGCCAATCATTGTTGAAAATCAATGGCACCAGTATATCGTCTATATAGTAGCCGTATCMTCCCTGGCCTTCATAACGGTTACATTAGTGATGTTAAGATTTATTTG